TTCTCCGAAACGCGCCAACGAGTGACGCGCAGTGACGTCATGGATTGCGGGGTTAAACAGAAAGTAGACTGATGAGTGTCAGTTTTTCGCCATTTGTAGCTACTTGCGCTGCAGAGGATCAAACAGGTGGTGTTTCCCCGGTATGTTTTGGACGTACCGAATAAAACTACAATGACTCTGTTAACATCAGCCTGTCTCTGCTTAACTCTGCTGTTTGTCTGTGTCGTGGATTTGGCCTCGTCAGGTGAGCTCTCCTTCAGGTACTACTTTGTTTCAACTTCACGAACAAGGCTCTGAAACATTACGCTGCCTTTTAATGTAAAAATGTTGAATCTCCCCTAGACTGTGCCTTATGTCTGTAGTGACAGAAAAATGCTTGTTAATTATCAGAAGGATGGACTAAATCTAATAAATAAATTAAAAAAAAGTATACGCAGGTTGTGTAAGCTTTCTCAGGACACCTGAGTTACGGGGTGCGGTCAGGTAAACGAAAAGCCCCTGTCCCCTCCGTTCCCAATAACTTTACCCTGACTGCTAACGGCACTAAGGCAAGGTGTGTTTTTACTCTTTACTGAAATCAAAATCTTCTTTTCCTGTTTGGTTCGGTTGGTTCGTGCAGGTGTGAACTCAGTAATCACACTCAGGTGCAGACAGCAACAACCCCACCGAGACCCTCAGGAGGAGGAGGTCTCGTTTATGGTGTGAACGTGATCCCAAACACCTGCACGGGCGCGCGCGTTACAGGTTTGGGTTAAAAACGTCCCGTTGCTATGTGTGCTTTATACTCTCAATACAAGAAGGAAGTACAGATATGCAAAGGTTACGTGAGGGTCAGCAACCAGCCCTGAAGCGACTTTCTGTTTTCATTCACAGCACACTCACCTTCTGTGACATCTGACCAATGAGCGGGCTCAGCGTTCTCACGTGGTTTGTAGTGACGTATTATCTCTGTGCGAAAACAAATCAAACCAGTTTACAAACTCAACAGTTGGCCTGCTGACTGTAGACTCCGCCCACCGTGTCCCACCTGATCCCGATGGAGCAGAAACGGTAAAAGTTTCCCTTAAAGAGGAAGAAATGTACAGCTCTGAAATGACATCATCATAATAACTGCAGCACAGCAACACACAGGAGCAATGTGAGGTGAAATATGATGTTCAATCATCTTCATATATTCTGATCTTCACTCAGAGGGATTCTGTGTGCAGAATCGATCATGTCAGAGATCTTTAACCTCTGATAGAAGTGCTGAGCATCCGAATAAAACATAAATAAATAAAACAAACAAATTTAATAAAAAATAATAACACAAAATAACCACCTCCACAGGAGGAACTTCTCTCTGCCCCACAGCAGACACTCAGTCTTCAGCTCCCAGCCTGTCAAACTAGGCTGACTAAGTCAGCTCTCACATGTGTTTGCTGCTCTATTTGAGTGAGATTTGATCTTATTGAGGTGTATTAAGGAAATTAAAATGGGTATAATTTTTAGCCAGGTTCTTATTTGATAAATTATCAATCAATCAATCAATCAATCCTTTATTTATATAGCACATTTAAAGACCAAAGTGCTTCTCAATAGTAAAATTATTCACTCAGCTTTGCAGAGGTTTGGTGACTTTGTCCCAAAATAAAGTCCAAGAAGGTTTTTTTTTTCTGTCCTCTGTGACAGCAGAGCTCACTGGTCTCTGATCCTCTCTCTGATTGGCTGCTGTTGAAGTGAACAGTTGTACTTTGACCTTTAACCTCTCTGCTCTGTGTTGTTTCCTCTTTCAGACCAGAAAAACATCACAGCTGAGTCTGGACAGGATGTAGTTCTACCATGTCGAGTACCATCAAACAAAACCATCAGAGCTGTGAAGTGGAGCAGAGCTGACCTGGGAGATAAATATGTGCTTTTTTACAGAGATGAACAATTTGATCCAGTTAAACAGCATCCATCTTTTAAGAACCGGGTGGATCTGCAGGACAGACAGATGAAGGATGGAGACGTGTCTTTGATTCTGAAGGATGTGACGACTGATGATGGTGGATCATACAATTGTAATATCTTCAACAAAGAGACAAAATCATGGGAGACCATCAACACCGTCAGCCTGACTGTTTCAGGTGAGTGAGTAGAGTTGAGTGTGTGTGTGATCAGAGGTGAAGCTGCTTCCTGGTTGTTGATGTTTGTTTCTAAAGATGTTGTTGATGAGACTTTGTAGAAAGCAGCTGGTCTGAGTGATGTGATCAGAGTGCAGTAGATAATGTCTGACAGCAGTTTGAAGAGGAAATGGATTCTGTTCTGTTCTTCACTCATCACCTACCTGACAGCTGACACCTCACACCTGTTTCTCACCTGCAGGTCAGACAGGAGAAACAAACAGGACGGACCTGTTGGACTGATTGCTGGTCTGTCAGTTTCTGCTGTTCTTCTTGTTGCTGTTGTTGGATTTTTGATCTACAGAAAACATAAACAATCACAGAGTCAGGATTCATACCAGCCTCCTGCTGAAACGCAGCCTGTTTGAAACGTCTCAGTTTGTTTTTATACAGCTGAACTCCTGCTGATCCAGACTCTCAGTACTGTTATTGTTACACGTGGAACATTTAAGACTTCATAATTCAAACAAAGAAAAGTTACATATCTGAGAATAAGATCAGTGATATTCAACAACAAAAACCATTTTATGTGACAAACATGTTTCTGTCTCTGATGTCGACAGAAATAAGTTTGTTCACAGTGATGGATTCAGCGTCGTCTCTGTCACAATATCAGAATCAGTGAGTTTGTGTCATCTTCAGGTTCAGCTGTTTGTGAGGTCAGACTCAGACTGATCCTCGTGTTTAGATGTTACACAATAATTACAGACACTGACTGACAACACAAACACAACACAAAGTGCTCAGGGTCCATTTATCAGCTAGAACTGAGTGACTGAATAATCTGATATTATTATGAAACCAAAGAGAAATGTGTTACATGGAGCTGCAGAGTCACATGTTTCCTCTGATCTATGAAGCCTTAACTTGTTCCTCCATGAAGGAAACTCTTCAGTTTAAACACGTCAAGATTATTTATTATTGATTTTTATATGATTGCTTGTTTATCGATAAAGTTTTACACGTGTTGCTCTTGAATGTTTGTCTTTGCTTCCTGTCGCTGTAAATGTTTTTCTGACCTGCTGTTTGAGTGTGAGCAGATTTGATCTCACCTTGAGTGTAACAATGTGAATATTTATACATTTAACCTGATGTTATTACATCCTGTGATCTGTGGAAGCTCAGTAGCCCCTCTCAGAAGTAGGAGATAAATAACAGAGCTATTCATGGGATATCAGTATAAGCATGTTACAGACTGTATACAGTTTTGTGTATTAACTTCTTTGTGCCTACCATGTGAAACAAGCATGTTAAATAAGAACATTGTTAAATTATTGGAATGTTAAAGAGTTACAAGCTGAAGCTGTTCTTTTGTACTGTGAAGTGATAAACCAGATGTATTTCATGACAGACTTTCTGCTTTAGTGCTACTAACACATGCTGTTCTCCTGTAAAGTGACAGAACAGATTCTGTTCATATCCACAGCATAAACATAATCTCTGAAAGGTCGGTGGGTCTGTCAGTCAGTCACAGATGGACAGTTTGAGCATTTTAAACACATTCAAATAACATATTCATGAAAAAATAGCTTTTTAAAGAGTCCTCCTCCTTCTTTATATTTCAGCGTTGGCTTATTTTGCATGCTGTGGTTGCTAATTCTTTTGCAGCTTCCAATTGTAATCCAACCCGTGGATTCAGTGTGTGTTACATTATTAGGATCAATGATTTTGTTTTAGCTGCCAAGTTCACGTTCATGTCAGTGTCTAAATTTATTTTCTTTGCATTTGTTGTACTTCTAGAACATCCAGGTTTTTGTAGTTTCAAACAAAGAAAAGTTAGCAAATCTTGACATTAAAAAAAATGTACAATTTTCTAAATATTTTGTTATGGCTGATCTGTATTTTTGCATGATCGGGTAAATGCTTTACCAGAAAGGGGCAGTATAGGCACACAGGTGTAGGCAAGAGCCTGTTATTATAATTTACCAAGTACTCAAATCATTTGAGGAGAGCTGCCATTAACAGATGTGGCTGTGACTTTCCTTAACTGCTGGGCCAACTTACTGAGGACGTCATCTGATGTGCAGAGTTAGCATTGGATATAAAACTAGGTGTGTTTGCCCACCTCTGGCTTAAACAAGTCTCTAGTCGCTATTTCTGCTGGGTTAATAATTATTAGGAGCAGAGTCTTTGACCTACAAGGTCCAGATTTCCTGTACAGGAGTAGCTGGGATCTGATTTATTTATTTATTTAAAAAACAAAAAACAAACTGCGGAAGTATCACTGTTGAGCTGCTTGTGTTCATGTTAGTATGTTTAAAGTCCAACATCTCCCTCTAGTGGTCACATATAAACCATGTGTGAGGATGGTGTTCATGTAAAATGTGAATCATAGTGTTCCAGTCAGTCATCAGTGTGTCTCTGCACAGCTGTAATTAAAATGTGTTCAGAGGGCCTCAGTGTCTGAATGGTTCCAGTTCAGCTCCATAACAGCAGCGTCCCTGGTTTGATTCCTGTGTTTCAGCTCATATCTGCCTCTCTCACTGAGGGGGACGTAACTACATGGACATGGATTTGTTCATCAACCAAACTACAGATCACTGAGAGCAGAGGACCTTAGATTATTATATTTATTATATCTTTTTTTTTTTTCTTTGTGAACTGATGAATATCCAATTACACATATAAGGAATCCAAATTAAAATACTGTACATTTATTAGTTTTGCCTTTTCATTTACATTCATGGTGGACGAGACAGGTTTTTTAAAAATTTTAGATTAAAGATATTCTTTTAAATGATTAGGCTATTCCCACCATTGAACCAATAGAAAGCTGGTGCTCAGAGGAAGAGGGCGGGCTTTACTTGGTGTCAGTGACAGAAATGAAAAAAAGCTCAAATGAGTGAGAAGGACGATGAAGGAAACATCTGTGCTGTGTCTGCTCTGTAAGTAGAATCTCTGTGTTTGTTTGAATTCTTGTACTTTGACTGTCTGCTCTCCTGATAACTCACCGGTTCCCAAACTTTTTTTGCTTGGCCCCCCTTTGTTTTACGGGAAAAATGTTCGACCATCCCCCTCCCGCGCGCACAAACACATCCTCCAACCACACACACCCATATTTTGCTCCATTGCGGTTTATTTCACACCTCAAACATTTAGTAAACAATTAAGCAAATACAAGTAATCTGCAATAAATTACAGGTAGTAATAAAATAAACTACTAACTCTTTTACGCTACGTCCACACCTACACGGGTATTTTTGAAAACGCAGCTGTTTCATCCACACGTAAACGGCGTTTCGAATCACCGAAAACTGAGATTTTTTAAAACTCCTTTTTTGCGTTTATGTGTGGACGAGGAATACAGAGTTCGTCACGCAATGTCAAAGGTATGTGCCTTTTTTCACGTCAGCTGTGCGCCACATTATTTTTTACATGAGATGAATGTCAGATAGAGACAAAATACTGTTAATCTGACTATCTGCAGGTTTACACGCTTACATATACACGCAGTTACTGTCCCTCCATTTACAAAGGCCTCCCTGGCCTCGGCAGACAAGGGAATCTGCCAATAGCCCTTGGTTAAGTCCAGCGTCGTGAAAAAGCGGGCCGTGCCTAACCGGTCCAGGAGCTCGTCGACCCGAGGCATGGGGTAGGCATCAAAGCGTGACACTTCGTTCACCCTGCGATAGTCGACACAGAACCGTATAGACCCATCCTTCTTCGCCACCAGAACGATGGGGCTACACCAGGCGCTGTGCGACTCTTCTATTACTCCCATCCTCAGCATTTCCGCCAATTCCCTCTGCACGATTTTTCGCTTATGCTCTGGGAGCCTGTAGGGCCGTGAACGCACCGTCACGCCGGGCTGCGTCACGAAATGGTGCTCGATGAGGGACGTCCGGCCGGGCAGGGGGGAGAACACGTCCGCAAAACGCTGTTGCAACGCGACAACATCCGCTCTCTGGGCCTGTGTGAGATGGTCATCACAAGGGAGGGAGGTGGGAATGATAGAATTTGGCACCTCAGGCCCCAACTCATCTCTCTCCTTCACCAAGCTCACCAGAGAAGCGGTTTCAACCTCTCGCCACAGTTTGAGGAGATTGAGGTGATAAATCTGCGTGGCTCCTCCCCTGTCCGACCGAGCGACCTCATAGTCCACGTCCCCGACTCGCCGTGTGACCACAAAGGGTCCTTGCCACTTGGCGAGCAACTTCGAGCTGGAAGTAGGGAGTAACACAAGCACTTTATCTCCCGGTGAAAATTGCCTGAGCCTAGCCCCTCTGTCATACAGGCGTTGCTGACGCTGCTGAGCCTGGAGCAAATTCTCCCGTGACAACCTCCCCAAAGTGTGGAGTTTTGCTCTCAGGTCCAACACGTACTGAATCTCATTTTTGGCGGGGCTCGGACCGTCCTCCCAGCTTTCTTTAATCAGGTCGAGCACCCCACGTGGCCTCCTGCCGAACAGCAGTTCAAAGGGAGAAAATCCCGTGGAGGCCTGGGGCACCTCCCGCACTGCGAATAACAGAGGGTCTAGCCAGTGATCCCAATTGCGTTCATCCTCGTTAATGAACTTCCGAATCATGGACTTTAAAGTCTTATTCAGCCGCTCCACCAGCCCGTCAGTCTGAGGGTGGTAGACGCTGGTCCGAATAGATTCGTACAGTTCCCGCAGTGTACGAGACATAAACGACGTGCCCTGGTCAGTCAGTATCTCTTTCGGGATTCCGACTCGGGAGATGACCTGAAACAGTGCCTGCGCCACACTCTTTGCAGAGATGGTGCGCAGCGGAACTGCTTCCGGGTACCGCGTTGCGTAATCCACCAGGACTAACACAAAGCGGTAGCCGCGTGCACTCCGGTGAAACGGCCCGATGAGGTCCATGCCGATGCGCTCAAACGGGACCTCAATGAGGGGGAGAGGGCGCAGAGGCGCTCTCGGTATGGCCGGCTGGTATGGCCCGACCAGCCGCTCCAGAACTTGCGTCTGTCGGTCCGTCTGCTCCCGCAGCGCGGCCAGGTGGGCACGCTGGTCGGCCGCCTGATCCCGGCTCATCGTCGCCATCTCCGCCAGCATCTGCGCCAAGAATTGCAGAGGCTGGGCGGGTGGCGCGGCCTGTGGGTCGGACATTCCCCCACCGGCACTTTCCTGGGTTTCGGCACCACTTGTGGAATACACCAGGCACAAATACACGCACACGCAGGTATGTACTGCCAATTTCCACATTTATTGACGTGTTTGTTTTGACAGCTGAATCAGTCGCACAGCCTGACAGCTCACGAGCCCAGCTGATCTCTGTCTGGATCCTCATTTATTATTTTTATACGGCTCATCTCACTCGCCGTGACAGTACTGACCAGCCAGCTATGGATCCAGCGGCATTCAGCCCACCAGGGAGCTTCAGGAGGCCGTTATCGACTCTGCTTCTAAATTAATCAACCAGTGGTTAGAGCATGAGGCAGAGGCGTCTCTTTACACTGTGGAAGCCAACCTACAACACCTTATTTCCAGTTACCCCTGGTTATTGGACTCACTGTATCCGCTCGTACAGAATTTTGTTCTTCACGAGCTTCACCTACACCCTCCCGCCGCTACCGCTCGCCCACTCGCTTCAATGGAGGACGTGCCGTCCGACCGGCCGGATGAGGAATTACTCGGTCCATCGGAGCCATCTCCGAGACAAAAGCGACGTTCGCGCCGCCGGCGCGGCACCCCACAGCCGGATGTAGGGACATGTAAGCAGTCGGCTGTGGTGAGTGAAAGGGACAGTTTTTCTGCTGCGTCAGACTCTGTGACTGTGTTTTCTGGAGCTATTTTTTGTGTGTCTTCTGAATATAACAATAATTTTTCCGTCTCACCCATGGCCACTGCTCCAAAGACTGCCTTTGCTGAGCCCACATTCAGGGTTAATGACTGTGTTCACGCTGTTGTTTCTAAACCTGGAGTTACTGAGTCAAGCACCACGAGTTTAGGGAATGACTATGTTAGGGGAGCCTTTTCGTCTGCATCGGTTCCTTCAGGTAAAGCAATAAACTTCCCTGAAACAGTTTTTCCTGACCATATCCCCCCATCCACACCTTCACCACAATAATACACGCACACGCAGGTATGTACTGCCAATTTCCACATTTATTGACGTGTTTGTTTTGACAGCTGAATCAGTCGCACAGCCTGACAGCTCACGAGCCCAGCTGATCTCTGTCTGGATCCTCATTTATTATTTTTATACGGCTCATCTCACTCGCCGTGACAGTACTGACCAGCCAGCTATGGATCCAGCGGCATTCAGCCCACCAGGGAGCTTCAGGAGGCCGTTATCGACTCTGCTTCTAAATTAATCAACCAGTGGTTAGAGCATGAGGCAGAGGCGTCTCTTTACACTGTGGAAGCCAACCTACAACACCTTATTTCCAGTTACCCCTGGTTATTGGACTCACTGTATCCGCTCGTACAAAATTTTGTTCTTCACGAGCTTCACCTACACCCTCCCGCCGCTACCGCTCGCCCACTCGCTTCAATGGAGGACGTGCCGTCCGACCGGCCGGATGAGGAATTACTCGGTCCATCGGAGCCATCTCCGAGACAAAAGCGACGTTCGCGCCGCCGGCGCGGCACCCCACAGCCGGATGTAGGGACATGTAAGCAGTCGGCTGTGGTGAGTGAAAGGGACACTTTTTCTGCTGCGTCAGACTCTGTGACTGTCTTTTCTGGAGCTATTTTTTGTGTGTCTTCTGAAGATAACAATCATTTTTCCGTCTCACCCATGGCCATTGCTCCAAAGACTGCCTTTGCTGAGTCCACATTCAGGGTTAATGACTGTGTTCACGCTATTTTTTCTAAACCTGGAGTTACTGAGTCAAGCACCACGAGTTTAGGGAATGACTATGTTAGGGGAGCCTTTTCGTCTGCATCGGTTCCTTCAGTTAATGCAATGAACTTCCCCGAACCAGTTTTTCCTGACCATATCCCCCATCCACACCTTCACCACAATTCAATGTGGGGCCTGTAACACAGTTAGCAGTACAGTTAGCAGTTCAGTCAGCAGCCCAGCTGCCCTCAGTTCAGTCAGCCACTCCACCACCTGTTACAACTTCGCTACCTGTAGCTCAGTTGCCACCAGTTCAGCAGCCTACCCACTCGTTCATTCGGCCACCATTCTCACTGTCTCATTCTAAGCAGGGAACACACTTCACCACAACATCTGCTGGTTCTCTTAAGCTGGCCATCTCAGGGACAGTTGCTCCCTCTAGGGCCTCCCCAGAGACTGGGTGTCAGTCACCAGCCAACTCTTGACCCCTAGAGGTCAAGACGCAAGCGCCAGCAGCCTCACCCAGAGAACTCACCAGAACAGTCTCAGCTCTCAGCACCCCCTGAGAATTCAAGTAAGTTCACCCGTCCGCCTCTGTCCTCTGCTGAGTGTATTGGGGAACACTTTCAGTCCCAGCCAGTGTCCACACTGGCAGAGGTCTCCGTACCTGCTGCTTCAGTGTCTGTCTCCATTGGAGGGCCCGAGGAGCCCGTCCAGTCTCAAGCCATGTTAGCTGGGGGTTCAGGTGAACCCAGCTAGCGTCCTGCCTCGTCGGCTGGAGGGCCTGAGGAGCCCGTCCTGCCTCAAGTGTCGTCTGCTGGGGGTTCAGGAGAACCCAGCCAGCCTCAAGTGTCGTCTGCTGGTGCGTCCGAGTCGCCCGCCCGGCTTCAAGCCAAGTCAGCTGGTGGGTCCGAGGAGCCCACCCAGCACCACGCTTCGTCTGCTGCAAACACAGCAAAAACACGTCCCATGCCGTCAGGTTGGTCCAGCCTGGTCCAGCCTCTGTGTCTTCATCCACGCCTGGTCCTGGTTCATGTCGGTGTGGCAACCGCAGCACCAGACAAAGGCGGAGCTGGACCAGACGAAGACGAAGGCGGCGTCATGGAGGCTGGACCAGGCGTGGATGAAGACACAGAGGCTGAACCAGGCGGCAGCGATACTGCAGGCGGTGATGCTGCAGGAGGCCGCGATGCCAGCGGCGGCGACGAACCCTTTCCGGAGGCCGTCCCTGAAGGCCATGATGCCAACTTAGAGGCCCGGAAAACAGCTGGCAGAGGCATGAATTTTATATAAGCAAGAGTGAACACCTCGTTACTGTCTGTGTGCGTTTCTTCCACAGTCTAAAGTCTAAAAGTTTCGCTAAGCTGTGATTCTAAACTTGCTGCACGTGTAACTTTGAGAGTGGATAAATGGATAACATTCTTCAACAAGCTATATTTATGATTACAAACTGAGCAGATACATCAGAAAGAGACGAGTTTGTGAGTTTGTCAGCTGTTTGTGTGGAGTTGTTCTTTATGTTCACCTCAAATCAACCTGAGTGTCATTTCTCTTTAGTTCTGATCTCACTGCTGAGCTGCACAACAAACCAAGGTCAGTAACCTTCTTCTGTCACAGTTTAAACCTGAGAAATGCTCACTGATATGACCTGATTGGGGTCATGTTTCACAATGGATCTATTAGTATAACATACAGTAGATTAGGGCTGCACGATTTTGCATAAAATGAGAATCACGATTTTTTGGCTTAGAATTGAGATCACGATTCTCTCACGATTTTCTTTTCCAGTATAAATATTTATTGCACTTATTAACTGCACATCAACTTCGTAACAGTTGAGACTGAACATAAAAACAATAAATAAACATAAAAACAACAAATGTCTCACGTTTTGTTGTTGCCGCAAAATGTTGTACTGCTTGAAATTCCGTCTCCACCGTTGCTCGACACTGCGTGTATAGAGCAGGTAGTGCAACAATAGAAAAATAGTTGCGGGACGGCACTGTGTAGCGTTTGTCTAGGGTGTTGATCATTTTCCTAAATCCCTCGTTTTGCACAGTGTTGATGGGAGCCATATCTTTGGTCAGGTGATAAGTGATAGCCTCCGTAATTTCTTTGTGCCTGCGGGAGTTCGACGTGTATAGGGAAGCGCTGTATAAGGTTCCCGTTATTGATGTTTGGGTGGTTGACCGGGACGGATTTTCTCCTGTCACTTTCTCGTCATCCCTGACGTGCTCTCCGTTGTTTTTTCCCTGCTAATTTTAGCATCACACGGCACAGCTTCTGTATCACGTGGTATAAGGCTCCGCCCTTGTCATTTGTTGAGCAGGAAGAGTGAGCGCTTGTTTTCATGCAGATTACGTCCCGGATCAAAATGCGGTACAATCGTCGTCTTTTTTTTTTTTTTTTTTTTTTTTTAAATCGTTGTCATTTGGAAATGAGATCGCACATAAGTATGAATCGAGATCGCGATTTTCTAACGATTAATCGTGCAGCCCTACAGTAGATCTATTATATTACATGTATTTCTTCATTTTAACCCTCACAGCTCGTCTGACTGTGAGTCCCAGCAGCTCTCAGTTCTTTAAAGGAGACTTTGTGTCTCTGAGCTGTGAGGAGGACGACAGCTCTGCTGGATGGACTCTGAGGAGAAACACAAGCACACAACAGAGGACTCAGTGTGGAAGCACATGGGGAAAACCAGCTGGTTCTTCCTGTACCATCACTATGATCTCATGACAGTGGAGTTTACTGGTGTGAGTCCAGAGAGGGTCCCATCAGTAACATGGTTAACCTGACAGTCACTGGTAAGCTGAGTGTGTGGAGTTAGTGTTGATGAAGCTGTGTGTAAATGGATGAAATGCTGTAGTTTGTCTCTGTGTTGAGGTGGATCAGTGATCCTGCAGAGTCCTGTCCTCCCTGTGATGGAGGGAGATGACGTCACTCTGCTCTGTAAAACAAAGACCACTCCCTCCAACCTCCCAGCTGCTTTCTATAAAGATGGCTCCCTCATCAGGAAGCAGCCTACAGGTCACATGACCATCCAGCATGTTTCCAGGTCTGATGAAGGCCTCTACAAGTGTGACATCAGCGGTCATGGAGAGTCTCCATCCAGCTGGATCACTGTCACAGGTGACACACTCACCTGTCTGTGTTTCTGCAGCTTTCAACATTCACAATGTGACGACAACTTAATGACTGTGTTTGCTTTATTTTAGGGGAACACACCACCACACCTCCACCTACATCCACACCTCCACCTACATCCACCTCTCCTCCTGGTTCTTACCTTTTTCCTACATTGTCATGTGTTGGATCAGACTGTGCTATGGTTTTACTGGTGTTACTGGTTGTGCTGGTGAGATGATGTGTTCACAGGAAACCTGAAGGTGAGACTCAGACTTCCTGATCTTTCATGTTTTAATTTTATTGTTGTGGATTTGAATAATCTACACATTTATCATGATTAAATGATTCAGTTACATTCTCTGTCCATTCAAATAACATTTCCGTTTGTCTTATAAATATTTTCACTGTAAATTTTTATTGGATCCAGATAAAGCTGCACGAGATGATGTCACATACATTCAAGTATCACATCGCAGGCTGTGAGACAAAGCAGAAGTAATAATGACGGACCTTTGGTGGGTGATTTGGTTTTTCCAGTGTGGAGAAAATAGGATGTTTATAAAATTGTATCACTTGAAACTTGGATATTTTCTAAGAGTTCAAAGAAATGCTTAGTGGAAAATGATTACACAGTGCTCTAAGAGCAATATTGATGTTGTTTGAGTGACAGTTTCTGTAACATGTGGTCGTAGTAAAGATGTTGGTCAGTGAACATACAAGACTGTATATCAAAGATGGAAAACACCAGAATGACTTCATCAACTGGTTTCAGAAACTAAAAGTTACAAATTTTTTAACAGCATCATGTTAGCTTTTATAGCCAGGAGAGACTCTATTTATCAGCTATCAGCTAATGTTAGCTAGCTTGGTTATCAAGCTTCTTCATAGATTGTATGAGACAAACAGAAAGGCACTGCTAATTAGAGCTCAGTAACATAATTTCTTCAGCAGAGGTCCAGTTCAGGCAGATATATCTGGTATATGATATCTAATATATCTGGCAGATATAAATAGGCCACGCCCCCAATAATGCAGACTGTAAGCTTTAAAAACATTTAAACAGGTCAGTTATAACAACAATCACCTCATGTACAGCAAATGAATATCAGTCTGTCTGTAGATTTTCACACCATGTTAAGTTCTGTGTGTGCTGAACGGTGTGTTTGTCGTCTGTGGTTAACACTAACGAGTCTGCCACTGTTTCTGAGGAAGAAACAATAAGAGCTTCATCTACGTGTGCTTCAACACAGAGGTGTGAATGTTAAATAGAGGAAGAAACACGTGAGTTATTTGTAAGAGCATTTCTGTAAACTCACACAGGTCAGAGACTGTTATCATATTTACTAAATATGAAATATACTACTATTTTGTTTTAACTTGGAAATAAACACTTGTGTTTGTTTTGATGTGTGTGAATAAACACCAGCACTTGAAGTTTGGATCCCTCTATGCTTACGGACCTACGACAAAAGTATGACCTCAAACTGACATGGCCTACCTTGTGCACAGAGAGCTGTGGAACCAGCTTCCAGTTTGGATTCGGGAGACAGACACTATCTCTACTTTCAAGATTAGGCTTCAAACTTTCCTTTTTGCTAAAGCATATAGTTAGGGCTGGACCAGGTGACCCTGAATCCTCCCTTAGTTATGCTGCAATAGATGTAGGCTGCCGGGGGATTCCCATGATGCATTGAGTTTCTTTCCAGTCACCTTTCTCACTCACTATGTGTTAACAGACCTCTCTGCATTGAATCATATCTGTTATTAACCTCTGTCTCTCTCA